CCCCAAAACCCCAAAACCCCAAAACCCCAGAAATTAAAGGGTAGTTGAAGAATATTTAACTGAAAATGGCACTTTTAGAGACAGATAGAGAGAATGAGAGAGTTGAGGATGGAGTACTACCTAGATCAGACTTGGATGAGGACTACATTCAAGAATTATCCAGTCAGAGGATTTTATACAAGAAGTGAGAGAAAATTCCAAAAGCTAATTTTCATCGTCCTCCTTCCCTCACCAACACGCATTCTCCTTTTAAAGTAATGAAGTAAGAGCTTTTTTATTCTTATAATCTCACTTAAAATAGTCAAGAAAAGCCAAACTCCAAAGAAAATTGAAACTTAGCATTAATGCCTGATACTCCTGAGGAGATGCTTTCGCACTCTAAATTAGAAATGGAGGAAAATACTATAGAGAGGCATCAAGAAATCTCCAACCTGTTCAGAAATAGGATTAAATGTAATGAGAGACGTAGCAGAGCTCAGAAAATACAAGTTATAAGGACCGTTGAGACTCCTAAAGAGTTAACAAGTAATGGAGAGTAAGTATTCAGAGAATCTGTAAAGAGCAGGTTCTCCTTTAGATTAGCTCTTTTTCATGAAAATTTTCATAATTTTGAAAAGATGGGTTTAAGAGGATTTGATTTAATATCGATATCATTTAGCACTAAAACAAGATTCTCTCCTGATAAGTCGCATCTGTACTGAAACAAATTATCTTCTATCAGAAAATCAACCAACAAATATTCAATGGTCAGCCTTAGAAACTCTAAAAACTCAAACAGAAAATCAAGGAATAAAAATAAAGATTACTCAGTAAATGCATCATTCTTCTCCAAACTTTTGGATTCTTCAAAAGAGCGCCAACCAAGCCAAAATGCGTTTGAAATAAGAGACAAGCAATATGTTGGAAAGATCATTAATAGTAAAGTTCAGGTTTTACCAAATTAGGGTACTTTAAACAAGTAAAAGGTTGAACCTTCAAACCGGACACTAGCTTATCCAAAAACTACAAATATCAGCCAAAAACAGCCAGGAATATTTTTAAAAAGGAGGTAAAGACCAAGAAAAAGCTTAAGAAAAGGTCAACTAGAAAATATCTTAATAAGTTCCCTGCTGGTGGTAGCCAAATTTCTACTCAAAAATCAAACTCAGAATTTGATCGAATTCAAGGCAATACGAATAATTGTGATAAAAGAACTGTAAATGCCACCGAAGGAATTCAAGTGGATGTTTCATTCAACAATACTACTGAGAGTGATCATGGGAGGGGAAAGAACAATGCTAAACTCATCAGTGGTGAGGATTCCTGGAAGGAATCCTCACCACGGATGGATAAGATAGTTAACATCCCTTCGGTGAACTCTTCGTTCTCAGTTCTTTGTAATAAAATTACCGACTATGATTTCAGAACTCTCGAAGCTATGGATAATGTAATGAAATCTCCAGAGAAAAGCTTCAATGTGTTTGATCCTGATGTAGATATACCTAGTCAGTCCTCTCCATCTTCAGCAGAGGATGGCATATCCTCTACTCCGAAGGAAAGTATCAAATGATGCTGGAAGGAAAGCTAAATTTATTTCATCGAATAACCATATTTTCTATATCATATTTATTAAATGGGGTTTTGGGGTTTTGGGGTTTTGGGGTTTTGGGGTTTTGGGGTTTTGGGG